AGTTTGCACTGCCTGGTACTGGTTTGCATTCCTTTGTGTAACTACAGACCTTGTCCCAAAGGACAATGTCATGTGACTATTACACAAATGCTATGTGACCTGCCAGTCATGCTGGTGTGACACAGGTTACAGGTATCTTATTCCAACCAATTGCGAGAAACAGTTAACTGTAATACAGGGAGAATTTTCAAATTTCTGTCAACACTGAGATTTGAACTCTGGACCTGCCACTTGGGAGTTGACATCATCTGTAATATTAAATAATATATTAACTAAAATTAATATAATATTTAGGCAAGCCAGACAAATTTTTCTCGACTTTCTTGTATGACTTGTGATTATCTAGCAATTCCTGCATTTTCTGTTGCATCTGAACATGCCTTTTCAGCAGGTAGAAATATGATCATGGATAAAAAATCAAACTTGGTACCTAAAACTATAAGAGCAGCTCAATGTCTTTGATCATGGATTCAAGGACCACTAAAAGGAAAGTTAGCATTCTAAGGTCTGAACTGAGTTATAATTAAGATTTTTAAAGAGTAATAAAAATATTATAGTAAAAAAATAAAGATTTATTAGGCATATGAATATATTATAGATTTAGTTATTTATCAGTTATAGCAAATTTTTTGTGATATTATATTTGTAATCATTAACTGTCATCTAGAATAACAATTCACATAAACCTTATTGGGCACATGTATATTAAAGTAATTATGTAAGATTACATTAGTATAAGATCATAAAATTGAAAATTATTATATATCAAAAAATTGGTTCAATTCATATATTAATGAATTTTTTCTAGCAATTTTTGTGACAAACAATTGCTATAGTGTAAGGCAAAAGAATTTACAAGTTAAAAATTTTAATTATTTGAACATTTTGACTATTACATTTAGTGTTTGTAGTCAATTTTGCATTAGTCAAGTTAATAAATTTAAATCGACTATAAACACTAATTACATTAGCAGAATTTTTTTTTTGTTTTACTATATATACTCTAGCTAAAAGATATGAATGCATTATGAATTAACCTTAATAACCAAAATTTTGAAATTCTAATTGCTTTCTTTATGTTGTATATAAAGTTTTATTATAAGTTTTTGTGATAGTTTAATACAGAATTTTTTTAAGAATCAGTTTTTGTTATCAATAGATGTTTAATCAAAAAAAGTCGATATTTGTTTTATAAATGCAAACTTATAACATTACCTAGTTACGTCCTATATAAAAAATCAGGTTATAAAATAAAACTCAATTAAGCTATAATTAGTGACGTAAATAAGTATGCATTTATAATTTGTTTTGAATTGGCTTTGATAACCAAAAATTTGAAGTTGAAAAAAGATGTCCTATAATATGCAAGTTTTAAATTTTTAATACTGTAATGCTGAATTTTTTTTTAAGATTCAGTTAGAGACTCTTGCCAGTATGTCAGGATCTTTATAATATCATACTAGATATATTATAATACCTTATACTGATATGTATTAGGGTTGTTAAATTTCATGTAATTTACTGTATTATTATCTAACTTATATATATAAATCATTTGTAAGTTATATAAGCTCAAAATAACTTCTAGAGATAAAATTATAAAATTTGACTTAATTTAGACTATATCATAATAACACTTTTGCATGCTTTTATTTTTTTTTAATAAAAGAAATTGCATAATACTTATTAAGCTAATGCTGATAGAAATCGTTATAAAATTTGGCCAGCTTTAGTAACTTACATTTGGGTCATGTAATTTACAGCATAATTTACCTTATCATAATTTACTATGTAAAGTATATTGTCAGGTAAGTTTTGACAATTATACCTTATGTGAAATACCCTAATGCTTATCATTATGTATTGATGTATAGAGCTTTGTATTCGTATTCATTATTCAAATAATATTCGTATTCAGTGAATATTTGAATAAATAATTGCCTGATGAATAACCAAATTTTATTCGAATAAGCAAATTTATTTGAATAATTTTTATTCTTTGTTATGTAAAACTTCAGTCATTGGCTGCTCTACACATAGTAACTATATTTAATGCTAATAACATATAGTTACTATGTGTAAAGCAGCCAATGACTGAAGTTTCACATAATGAATAATGAAAATTATTCGAATAAATTTGCTTATTCAAATAATGTTAGTCATTTGGCGAATATTCAAATAGATTTTTGCTGATCTAAATTATTCGAATGTTATTCGAATAAGAAATTTGTAATCTCTAATGATGCATACAACTTATTTATGCAGTTAGAGTTGGTAAAGTCCTTATATCATCAAGTACATTTTTATATAGATTTATGTAAATTTTTACGTAAAGTTAGTAAAATTTTATTTAAACATATAAAACTTTATAAACCCAATGAAAATTTATATGATCATTTATATAAATCTATTTATATTTCTATATAGAATTCTATAAAATTGTAAAAAAATTTTAATTTAAATATTAAAGTTAGAATTAAATTTTAAAGTTTAAATTAGAGGTTTGGAGAAGGTTTTCAAGCATGCTAAACATTTTTACTTAGTACATTAAGAGGTAATTACCTTAGCTGTTTTTGAGAAATAGCTGAGATAAATTAAATTATTTTTTATGTAAGTCTAAATAAAATTTATACATATGAAAATTTTAATTTGATGCACTATGCATTGTGATGCATTCTGATCAGGGGTATAAATACAGATCATCAACTGATTAAATCAGTTGAATTTTTTTTTGTGATCATCACTTCAGTGTTGTCGTTATTGGCATGAATTTCGACATTTGTCCTGTTACCAGCCTAATTTCATTTTTGCATCATGTCTTCATCATCATCATCATTTTGGTGTTAACATTTTGGTGTATCATCTTTCAGTGTTATTGCTGCTGCTATGCTGAACTAGTATTGTGGAGTTTTCATTGCACATTTTTGGATCAGCATTGTGAATTTTTTGCTAGTGAAACTGTCATGCTATTTTGCTGTTAATGTCGTATGATTACAATGCATTTGTTGGGTAGCATAAATAGTCTCTTCAGCATGCCTACTTTGGATTAGCATTTAGGGTTAGGGTCAGTTATTATAAACTTTATTCTATCTGTTATTTTTGTTTGTGAAGCATTACTAACACTTTTTTTTTCTTAGATGTTGTGAGAGGCACTTTTGAAATTTCTTGGGAACTTTGGAAAGTATAGTTTTAATTTTCATTTTTTTGTTGCTTTGTGTTGTATAATTGTTACTAACACTTCTTTTTTTTTTAGACGTAAGAAAGAACACCTTTGAGCTTTTATGGGAATTTTGAGGGTATGTTTTATTTTTCTGTTTTTTTGTTGTTTTGTGTTGTATAACTATTATTAATTCTTTTTTTAGGTGTTATAAAGGGTGTCTTTGAGTTTTCTTAGAACTTTGGGAAATATGGTTTTATTTTCTATTTTTCTGCTGTTTTGTGTTATATGACTATTATTAATATTTCTTTTTTAGGTGTTTTAAAAGGCATCTTTAGATTTTTTTAGAAACTTAAGTATGCTTTTATTTTTCTGTTTTTCTGATGTTTTGTGTTATAGCTGTTACTAACATTTCTTTTTTTTAGATGTTATGAAGGGTGTCTTGGGAATTTGGGAAGTATGATTCAACTTCTCATTGATTTGTTATTTGTTTTATAAAGCTGTTACTAACACTTCCTTTTTTTAGGTTTGGTGAAGGATGTTATTGGTGTCATCATTAATATATCTACCATTATTGGAGTTGCGGTTGTGGGTCTTGTAATTTTGCTGCTTTTGGATCATTGTAGTTGGTGCATCGTTTTAGGTATTCTATTCATTTCACAGCAAAATAATTCATGCACTATTGTTGAGGTGTCATATTAGATACTGTTATTGACAATTCATTAGGGTTAGGGCATCTGGAATTTAGTGGTTAGGATAATTAGATGTTTGTGTTAGTTTCATGGTTAGAGTTAGGGCTAGATGTATTTTGTAACACAAATTATAGTTGTTTTGAGAAAAATGTAATAAAAAGATTTTTACACATAAATTATACAATTATTATATATTAATAAATTAGGAAGTTGCATGATGTAATTACGCTAAAACCAGGAACAGAAAGCGTTATTTGAGATTTTGGTCATGGTTAGTACGTATAAACTAATTTCATAAATTATTTTGTCAATATTTAATTTAGTAAACGAGCATGTTTTTATAAATAATAGACAATCTATACTAATATTTTGACACTGTAAAAATTTAATGATTTTAAAAATAGATAAATGAGTTGGTGATTTATAGTGATAGATAACTACTATACAGTGCACCCCTCTGGAGTAGTATTCTCTCTTTTCTTGAAAAGTGATTTGTGATCCAACTTTTATAATTATAGTGTGATCTTTTTATTGGGTTTGATATGTCTAATAGCAAGATATATACTAATCAATAACAGTTATTTGTATTATACTCCTATTTTTCAATATCTTGGAAATTTATTCAATCTAGGTTGGCTTTCTTGAAAAATACCCAGGGTATTATATGCAGCACTGTATAGTAATAATAACAGTAATCTTAACAAGCATTAGTAATTTTAAAAGTAAGTTAGTAATTTGAACATTGAGTGAGTTTACAGTTCAATAGTAGATCAGTTAGTGCTTTTAATATTGAAGGGTCAATTTTACTAGTAGATAAATTAGTAGTTTAAACAATAAATAAGTTAATAAGTATTTATGATTTAAGTAATGATAAAGATTTTAATAACAAATAGATCCAAAATTTTGTAGTGTAAGTTCATAACTTAGTAGTGACTTCAACTGTAAATGTTCGTTTTAGCAGAGCAGATATATGGTTTTGATGAAGATGAGTAGTAATTTTAATGAAGAATATACAGAATGCAACAACTATGATCATGTTGATTAATTGGATATTAGATTTTGCAAACATATCTAATTTTTTTCTTTACTAAACTATACACTTTGTAATTTAATCACTCCATTACTGGTATTTGTATAATAATGTTATAATGTTAATGAAAATTGTTTATATGATATGAGAAATGTACCATGATGCAAGTACACTATTTTATAAAATTCTCTATATTTTAAGTAATTTTGTTTTATATATAAAAGTATATATATAAGTCATTGAACCTAAACATGTTCATGAACTTTGAACTGAACCTAAACTGAACCTAAACCTAACTTAAAAGTTCAATATTGAACCTAAACTGAACTTTTTTTTAAAAAAAGTTCAAGTTCAAGTTCAGTTCAGTTCAGTTTATAGAAATATTACTTAGGACTAATTTATCCTCAAGGTAAATCTCCCAGAGCCTTCTGTATCCATTTTTACAGCTGACATAGGTATCACTATAGCAGAACCAACACTTGCGATCAGGGCTAACCTTTAAATTGCTATGCTCTTGTAGAGTTCACTTAGATCCTAGCATCTACTTTACAACATAACCTCAGTACTTTAGTATACTCCTGCTTTTTGTTCAGCCTTTTTACCAAACTCCCAATTCAGATAGCCCGTGTAAGACTATGACCAGTCCATTAGTATATCAGGTCATCTAATATTCTTTTTTTCTGATTTATTTTAGCAGCCTAGTTGGTAGTATCTCTGAGTCTTCCAACCCAGGAGTTCTTGCCTGTCTGGCTACTACGACTAGATACTATGACCTTGGTATCCATTTTCCTAGGCTAGCCTTTACAGTAGGGTTGTCAAAGATCCAGCTATCTCTCTATTTGGGTCTTCCTAAATGAACTTTTTGTTACCCAATTTCAACAGATTTACACAGCTACAAGGACTTATCTAGTGTTTGTACTGCCCAATTTGTTAGTTTGCATTCTTTTATATAATGCCATATTTACACAAATGCCCTATGACCTGCCAGTTATGCTGGTGCGACTGCTATTACAGGTATCCTAACCCAATTATTAGTAACAGTTGTCATAATATAAATATTATATAGGTGATTATCCAAATTTTTACTGTTGATGGGATTTGAACACCCAACTTACCACTTGGAGGGTTGACAACCTGACTACTTTACTAGGTCACCACACTTCTAAAAATAAAAAAAAATATATTTTACTATAATCTAAACCAATATTTGCAATTAAAACTAATTATTAAATATTATATCTTTGTAGAGTTTATACAACTTCAATACTTTTTTTTACAACTTTACTAGTATCTTGCCAATTTTACAAATACTTTTATATTTCTAATTCAGTTAGCTCTATATAAAGCAAGTTTATACTTAGATCAACTAATTAAACAGATTAGTAGACTCTTTTTATTTAGAAGTTTTTATCTATACAGATTACTTACTTTAGGTTTTCTTCTTTAGATTAAGATTTTTACAAATAATATTATTAAAAATTATATTATTTCTTTATTTAGAATTTTTAAACAAAGCTTTTTATTTAGTATATACTTTTTAGATTTATTTATATAATATTGTATACTTCCAAAGTTAGTTTTAATACAATCAAAATTACAAAATTATAACTCTAAATATTTTATCCAAGTTGCTAGCATCTAGTTTTTTTTTATATTTATATTTTTTATATTTATTTATATAATATTATATACTCTTAAAATTAGTTTTGAAAAGTGTGTCATAATTTAGTAAAGTAGATAAGTTGTTAATCTTTTAAGTAGTAAGTTGGATATTCAAATCTTATTAATAGTAAAAATTTAAATAATCACTTATATAATACTTGTATTATAGTAACTGTTTTTAATAATTAGATTAAAATATCTATAATAATAGTTACATTAGTATAACTAATAAGTTATAAAGCATTTGTATAACTAGTTATTTAGAAAAATACAAACTGACATTAGGTGATGCAAACTTTAAATAAGGTTTTGTTGCTATGTAAATTTATTGAAATTAAAAAACTAAAAGTTTATTTAAAAAGATTTGAATAAAAAAATAATATAAATTTTTAACAATGCTACTATAAAGACTAAATTACTAAAAACAGATACTAATATTAAAATATTCAGATAAGCAAGAATCTCTAAGTTAAAAGATTTTATTAAACAGACTGCCAGAATGGATTAAAGAAAAAAGATATTAGACTAATCTAATATACTAATAAACTAGTTATAGTTCTATCAGACTATCTAAATTAAAAGTTTAAAAAACAGACAGAAGTATACTAAAGTACTAAGGATATATTGTAAAGTAAATGCTAAGGTTTAAGTAAACTTTACAAAAACATAGCAGTTTAATAACTAATGTTAATTACAAGTATTGGTTCTATTATAGTAATACTGAGTTAGCTATAATTAGAATTTTTTAAATCCAAATCAAATTAAATATTAAATTAATTTGAATTTGATTAAATCAAATATACCTTTGATTTGATTTGATCAAATATTTGAATTAAATATTTAAATTTAATTTAATTTTCAAAAAAATTTAAAATTTTAATTAATAAAAAATAACTTGATTTACAAAAAATGTTACTATATTAATTAATTTTAAGCTCTTAAGTAAAAGTATTTATCTATACAAAATATCTCTAGTTTTATAAAATAAAAAAGTCAATTGTCTTAATAAAATTTTAAGTAAATAGATTATAATTTTGAATATTCAATTATAAATTTTTAAATTAAATCAAATATTTGTCAAATTAAATCAAATTTAATCATATTCAAATTTAATTTGATTTAAAAATTTTAGATTTAAATTTGATTTAAACTCAAATATTTAATTAAATCAAATTAAATTGCAAAACTCTAGCTATAATAATAAGTATAAAAGGTTTTAGAAAGTTTATTTCAAAAATAAAATAGGTTTAAAGTTAAAACAATTACTTAGACATAACCTAGTAATGTTAATACAGATTAAAAGTTTAGAAGGTTTAAAATAAAATACTTAAGCAAAAATGTTAAATATAACAATTAGTAAAAAACTTTGTATAAACTTTTTAAATAGATTATATAAAAAAGTTATACATATAATTAATTATATATTTTTTCTATAGTGGTTTATAAAATTATATTATTAAAAAAGTTATTAAGGTTTCCTCTAATCTATCCTAGCTAGAAAATAATTTGAAACAATTATTTACATCACTTATTAGAAAATAGGAGGTGTAATGCTACATTGGGTGTTTATTTTTTTTAGCAATACAAATATAGTTTAGAAATCTTTATTTTAGGAATTTTTTTTTGTAATTAAATTTCTTATTGTATTTTAAAGTTTCTATTATGATATTATAAATATATAAAAAAAAAAAAGTCATTAATAAAAGTTAAAAAACCAAAAAAGTTACTTTAAAAAAAAATTAGTTTTGGTACAACTAAAATTACAAGATTATAATCTTAGATATTCTTTCTAAGTTAATTGATTAGAAATATTTTCAAAATTCTACTACTAATAGAATTTAAACTTAGAACCTATTGTTTAAAAAATAACAATTCAACTATTATACTAGAATTATTATTTTTATTTTTTTTATTTATATAATTAAAAGTTTTTATCTAATTAATAAGTTTTTTTTAGTAATAATTTTTTTTAAATTTATAGTATATTTTTAAAATTCTTTTTAAATTAATTTATTTATTTTTATTTTTTTATAAATTTTTTTTGTTATTCTTTTTTTTAATTTAAATTTTTTTTTATAAAAGAATATTATTAGATTAATAGTATTTTATTGTAAAATAAAGTTTTAACTTTGTATACAAATTTTAAAAAGTTCAAAATTTATAATCAGAAATAATTTTGTTATAGTAAATTATATATATTTAGATTATTTATAATTTATTTATTTTTTTTTTTGCTTTTGCTAAGACTGTAGTTATTACTGATTATTGCCTTTATTGTATTTTAATTATAATTATATAACTTGTACAAAGTGAGTTTA